AACAATAAACAAATTACATTTTGAGGTAAAAGAAAAAAGCATGCGAATTAATTAGAAATCGACAGAGTCTTCTAATCACAAAATTAGCCAGAGTTAACTATACTCGTATGTTCATGAATTATAAAGTTTCCAAGCCATTTTTTTTTTTTGAAATGCCACACTATGTAGTTGGATGTCCCCAAGCCCCACCACCAGCACCACCACTTAACTGCTGGGAGGCTTTTAAAATATGAAAAACTGACGACATCTGCTGTTGTTGTTGTTGTTGTTGTCACTTGTTGTTGCTGGGAACAACAATAGCAACAACAGCAGCAATTCAATATGATTTGTGATTTACAACAGGTTTCAATTAAACAGAAGTCGTCTCCATGTGCAGGCCCGGCCCGGCTCCCGCCACAACAGCCTCACCCGCCGCACCCGCCTCACCCGCCTCGCCCACACTCCACGCCCACACCAGTACGCACGCCACCCAGCTGGCTGGCTTTTCTTTTCGCATTTCGGAAGATGCAGCAGCTGAGGGGCGTTGACAGGCCCATAAATATAGGCTGGCATGTCTATCGCGTAATGCTAGACGAATAGTTTTAGTGGGCATGTAGTTTTGGGGACTGTAAGCTGAGCTGCCACTTGAAGTGCCGCCGATTCGTCCCATCGGGAAAACAGCCGCAGCCGCAGCCGCAGTCGCAGTCGCTGCAGCGTTGCAGTTGCAGTTGCCAACTAATTGAAGACAAACGGCGGCGGCGGCGTTGGCAGCGAAATGGATGCGCGTATAAATTAGACAAGAGGCCGACTGCAACAAGAGTGCTATTAAGTGGTGGCATCCAAAGGGACTGGTGGCATCCCAGCCAGCCGTCTGATGGATTGTCAAATTGTGTATAAAATGTCGTGGCGACATTTTTCAATTAAAAACGCATGCAGTCTGCGACATACAAGTAGAGCACACCACGAGATCGGCCCCAAATACATATGTATGTATATACATATATACTTACATACATTTATGAAAACAATACACCCCCATCTTCCATGCTAACACTTGGAGAAAAAATATTGCAAGTGTAATTGCGGAGAATCGTCAATATTACGAACCATATTTTAGTCACACTCTTGGACTTGCGGAAGGTCAGAATTTAATTTAATTTAAATACAATTCTGAAGGTCCAACTTTTCAATAAACAAATGCATCATTTCCATCAATCTGCGAAGGCTTCTAAAATTATGAATCTGAAACGCCAAATTCAGACCAGAAGCAGGTAAATTTTCAAATACGGAAATAAATTCGATGATTTAGGGTGCTACATATATTCCACTCCAATTCTTTTAATTACACATAGATAGGTTCATTCAAGTATCTACTAGCAAGATCATTAAATACTAGCAACTAGCGAGCTAATTACAAATGGATAGTTTACATGCAATATTCCTGGAAGCGAGCTAGATGTGGGCAGGAAATATAGAAGAAGAAGAATTTGAAACAAAAAATTACTCAAAACTAATTTCAAAATATAACATTTTAAAAACCTTTCAATGTTGCACAACAAATGTTGGTAGACTTATATCAATAAAGACATATGACATATATGCTGGCACAGATCAAATGTTCAGATGAAACGTGTCCTTGGGGCTTCGAGCGAATGTGCTATTGATGATCGCACATCCAATTCTAACGCTATATTTTAGACCAAAGCTAAACTAATATAGTAATGAACTGATTTTAAGAACGGAATAATTAAATGACAATTTCTGTTATACTCGTATTTTTAAATCCCATAGAGACCTGTAGCTGCGTTCCTTAGTACATTGTTGTACAGAAAAACTGGATTAAAACTTATATATGGATTCGACTCGAAACTGTATCCTGTAAGTACACAAGGCCTTTATATTGTTAGCTTTTTATTCATATACATACATATGTATATGTACTTTAATCTGCAGTATGAACAAGCTCAGATCCTGCTCTCTTATTCAAAGCAATGAATCATTTCAATTAATCATTTCTAGCCCTGCTTAAATCTAGAACATTATGGGAGGTTTAAATTGCAAAGAGTAGGATCCCCAAAGTCCAGTTCCACATAATTATATATATCGTATATATATACAAGTATCCACATGTTCAGAGCATGCGTTCATAAATTTTATTTTATTTTATTTTATTTGTAATCTTTATCCCAGCGCTAGAAGTATTAGGTTACTTTTAGCCTAGTCATTAAATATTTTGATCGATATCAATATACCTTAACAATACATATCATATAATTGTATCTAAATAAATTTCTAATATAATCTTCTTCTTGTTTGTTCTATTTTAATTTATAACACAATATCTTAAAAGTTACATTTTTATTCATATATACATTTTTTTTTTGTCTTTTTTTTGATGCATTTAATTTTTTTAAATTAATCAACGCACTTAAGATCTATGTCCTACTTACAGATACAAGAGAACTGTATATTGATTTTGAAATCGATTGTGCGCATATTTTTCTCTGGGTGCAGGCTCCCTGCAACCCCGCCGGCTCAAGGGGGAAGTAATCTTCGGGCTCATTAAATTCAAATGGAATTCGTAAAGCAAACTTAATCCGCTCATAAACATTGCTGTGTATTGGATGTGAGTGAGTGCACCTTTTTGGCTTCCCCTTTCGATGCTTCCGCCTCATAGAGTGTATCTATCTGGCGCCAAAGTCTATCATAAATCACATGGACACGGGTCGCAGTGCAGCTCAAGGATTTACACGGCAGAATTGGCCGAAATGCCACAGAACAAGAAAATGTTGCCATAATGACTTGGAACGCAAGTAACGCACTCCCAGACGCATCCCTCACAAGCGTACGACCTCACGAGGTTGCATGAGGCCCACGTGCCGCAGTTAAACCTCGTGGCGAATCCAGCTTGGCCAATTTTGTGCCCGACCCCATCACCAGCAGCTTGAGTCAAAAATCTAATTTCAAGCACCAGAGCACGCGGCAGTGAAACCGAAACCGAAACCGAAAGAGAACAAAAAGTGGCAGCTTCTGGTACTGGAGTTGGTGCTGGTGCTGGTGCTGGCATTCGAGCTGGAGTTGGAAGTGGATTGGAAGTTGGAATTGGAGTTGGAGTTGGAGCATCTTTCTGCTTGCGTTCCTCATCGCTTGCTTAACGATTTTAGCTGCTGTCGTCCTTTGCAGGCCCAGTTGGGCGTTGTGTTGTTGTTGCTGTTGTTGTTGTTGTCTATTTGATGTCTTAATGCCACGCACATGCTTGGAGTGCCACCCCCTGTAGCTCAACAGCCGGCGGCATCTTTTCGAGCGCAGCAACACTCGCTCGTCGATGGGCATACAACTTTAATCAAATGGATTTGTTTCTATTTTCGCTCTTCGAACTTTTACCTTCCCCCATCCCAGTCCTCCCCTACCTCAATTACTATACAACCACTTCGACTGCATTCGAAATGAGCCAAAAATAAAAATATACAAGTATGTACATCTACGAAAAATGTCGATTGGCCCCCGCCCTGTTCAGTAGTGTTGACAATTTATTATGTTTTTTAGGATAATCTCTCCAGTCTTAAAGAATAATACACGATTCTTTAGTTCAAAGATCGCACAGAGTTAGGGGCCAGGTGGACGTAAATGATTGATCGATTCATAAATATTTCAATATTGTGCAATACAAATAGATACTTGTAGAGACAGCTTTGGTAAGGTGCTGCGTTTTGCACTCAAATTTGTTTACAATGCAAGATACATACATATGTATACTACGAGTATACATACATCTTAGCTATAACAATAACGCTTCAAACCAAAAGTCGTATAAAATATCAGAATAGTATTATTTCGAGTGGAACTTGAGTATAGATTTCGGCAAATTGTTGGCATCGGTATACAATAAAATGTTATAAACTTTTGTGTAGAGATATGATCTCCTGTTGTTATTTAAATATTTATTTATTATTATTTATTTATTTATTTTTGTAATCTCTATCCTTGCCTTACAAGTATTAGGTTACTTTTAAATTAGTACCGCTAATCATTGAAAAAATCGATAAGGGAAGTTACATTTTTGTTACCTACATGTTTTCCAGTTCTTGGATGAGTTATGTGGGGCCGAGCCTTAATCTCAAGTATATTACTATTTCGATTTCACCTAGTTTTACTTGACTTTCTATTCTTTCTTCCAAGGCTTATATCAATTGAACTATTCAATAACCAAATAACGCGACGTTTTTGGGGTAAGCTAGAGAATGAGTCAAATTTTAAATAACTTGAAAAACTTCCGTTCAATTGATTTATAGAACCAACCCTCATAATGTGCCCCCAATTCGATCACCGTTCTGATTTCAATTCAGCTTCTTCGACAATTTTTCTCCAATAATCAATATCATCGCATAGCAGCTCATCGGCCGATGTAAAATGTTGAGCTTTTTGTAATCATTATTCCCTAAATTGGTAAGATTGAATCGTCAAATTATTTCAGAAGGTTCTCCTTTCTTCGACCCAGTGTTATCCCAAACCGAAAAAAGCTCACTAATATGTCGGTAAAGTGAAGATATCTTACAGTTTTCACTATCAATTTCTCATAATTTCCTTAAGTACATTAAGTAAACAACATTATTTCCCTCAAAACCCCCCGATAAAAAAAAGGCACCAGTATTTAATTATATTTTTGGTTCTTTTTAACATAAATGGTTTCATTTGGAAATAACGGTAAATTAGGCGGACTACATATTGCCGTAAGGGAATTTTAACATTTTTATAATTGTAACATAAGCTCCTGCTGCTAACGTAACAGCGCTAATGACATTCTACATTACATTTGGTGCATAAACGTACTACGAGGGGAAATATTTAAAAGTCCCAAATATGAACACCGAAGACACACACCATTTGCCATACATTGAGATTCATTTGAAAAAAAAAATTAAATACACCCAATTCTGTTTTTACACGGTCGACTGGTTCCAGAAAGTCGTGTAAAAAAGACATTGATCATACATACATATGTAATTTTGAATCGTGCTAAATGGAATAAAGTCGTGCAACCATATATAAAATTTTTAGTTTTCAAACCGTGTTAAATGAAAACCGTGTAAAAAAGACCGCGTAAAAACAGAATTAGGTGTATATGTACTACACATGTGTGTAATTTGGAAAACGTATGTAAAAATACATACATACGTAAGGCCTAATCAGTCTTACATATTTGTGTAGCATTACCGACTAAATCAGATGAGGTACTGCTTCAAATAATATCTAAATTTGGTTATTCTAAATTAATAGTTCTACGTAATTTGTAACTTTGGACTTGTATGTGGTTTAAAATCTCATGCCTCCACGTCCGCTGGGGCGCTTCGGATCCCGTTTCGGTGAGTTCTCGTTATGTGGTCGCTTCCTAGGCGTCAGCCCTAGCCCCGGCCTTGGCGCAGGAGGTGGAGGTATAGCCAATGGATCGACTGGCGGTAGAATTGGTAGAGGTGATGATAACGATACAGACGGTTCTGCAGATAACGGTTGGTTGTGCTGATCTAGGTCTGTGCTCGTAAACAATGTTCGCCGTACACTGGAGCGGGGTTGCCGTCTTATTAGGGTCTCCGGTGCTTCTACGCTTTCGTCGTCCGTATGTTCATTTCCCACAGGCCATGGGCGTTGACGTCGCGCAGCTGCAGGTCCAGCCGATGTACTTGTCCTAGTACCAGTGACCGGCGACCCTGGTGGCACTTTCTCGTACACAACCAGACAGATTTCATGTGTAGTGGACCTTGGCGAGGCACGATGTCCCAGCGTGAGACGCGTGGGCTGCGAGTCACCTATATCGATGCCACCATCGTCGTTACTATGCGTCGCTTCTAGCCGGCCAATTCCCTCAACATAGTTCAGGGACTCGTTGCGCGGCGGTGTGGCCAATCGACTGCTCAGCTCGATTATAGATAGATCTTCCTCGTCACTGTCGGCGCGTAGGCGTAGGGAAGAAGGCATTTTTTCCCTTGCCTTTTGCTCACGCAGGCGCCTCACTGTGTGTAGAGCACGTCCAAATCTGGAGTTCATTTCCGCTGCCACATCCTGGTGGCAGTTTGTTGCCTCATCGAATCCGACATGCTTATACCGATTCGTGATCTGCGTTCTCATGAATCCAGTTACGGAACTAGCGCCCTTTACGCTTCTTCCAAACACATTTAAAATAACCTCAGGAGCGAGGGTACTTCGTATGGCACCACTCTCCACATCTTGCAAATAATTCTGCATAATCGCGTGTGTAGAAGCAGTACTTTCTTCTGGGCGGGAGGAAGATGCTAAAAATGCGATTTTCATTCAGTTTAACATTTTTATTGCTCAGTTTAAATAGCCACTCGTTTTCGCTTACCAACAGCATCTAGTGTCAGTTCCGACTGCATTTTGTTATCGCTTTTTTTCAAAACTAATAAGCTGCAAGCACACAAAAACCTATAATTTTGATAAGACAAAAATGAATAACGAAAATCCTTATTGTTCTTTTCTATTCAACTGCAATATATGTATGTATGTATAAATAGGGACGTGTTGCAGTCTGAAAATTTCGGCGACGCTTGATAGAGATGTGAGAAAACATCGAAAGCATCGATGCTTTCGATGGCTTGGTTTTCAGCCCGCTAGGTGGCTTATTGTACCCGCTAGGTGGACAGCATTCCACAACGTACATTCCACATTTGCTCTTTTCACTAACATGAATATCATGCGTCACCGCAGTAATAAAGTTATTTTAATTATTTAATAATTATATAAATGCAATTTCTGCCTCTCCCAATAACAACATCTTTCTAACACTACCAATAGTTGCCTAGAACCATCGATAGTGACCGAAAAATAAATCAATCGATACTATCGATAGTGCCATAGACTAATTTGCAGCCCTACGCTGTCTGTCGTTTCGTTCCTCGAAAAGGTGCGAATTCGAGTTGATATTTCATTAATTTATTACTGACTACAATAAATAAATATGTTCAAAAAGTAAGTATGCAGCGCAACTACTCGCCCGCAACTACAATTTATAATGACCGCCCATCAGATTCGAAGAAAAAGACAGTATCTCGTCGATACAACAGCTCAAGTCGTCCGTACAGAAGGGCATACGTGCCAAGCTCCTAGAGGCTTACCCTAAGCTGGAGACACATATTGACTTGATATTGCCGAAAAAGGACTCTTACCGCATTGCTAAATGGTGAGTGAGCTACGTTTTCAATACAGCCTGAACTGAAATAATGCTCTTTCTCGCACATACACAGCCACGATCACATCGAATTGTTGCTGAATGGCACCGGCGAGCAAGTATTCTTTCGGCACCGCGATGGTCCTTGGATGCCCACACTCCGCTTGCTGCACAAATTCCCCTATTTTGTAACCATGCAGCAGGTGGACAAGGGCGCCATTCGTTTCGTGCTCAGTGGCGCGAATGTTATGTGCCCCGGCCTGACTTCGCCGGGCGCCTCCATGACACCTGCTGAGAAGAGCACTGTCGTGGCTATTATGGCTGAGGGCAAGGAGCACGCATTGGCCATCGGTCTTCTCACACTATCTACCGAAGATATGTAAGTAAGACAAAGTAAATCAAGCCAGGCTATTAATTGTTTTAAATTGTATTGCAGTTTAAAAGTCAATAAGGGCATCGGCATAGAGACTTATCATTTCCTTAACGACGGCCTTTGGAAATCGAAACCCATCAAATAAAAACAGTCACAGCTCAGCTGCTGGCCAGCAAACCGTCGCCGTCACCGTCGTAGTCTTCGTCATCGTCATGAGAGCAAAGAATGGTTTTCGATATGCTGCAAAAAAACGAAATTTTTTTTTAACTTGTTCACTAGTTACTCTATATAGAAATATATGTAATTAATTGCATTTAATACCAAATTTGCCTATGCATATACATACATATGTATGAATATGTGTGTTTCTGTATGAATGAATATGGCAACACCACCCACACAAATGCGTTCACTCACACGCACCTACTTGAAGAAGAGTGCATTGCGAAGAACCACCTGTGGAGGTAGGATAAGGAATGAGACAGGAACCATTTAAATATATTGTGGCATAAATACAAGCTTATCCAGTGTTAGACGTACAAATGAACTGAAAGGAATTGGGATTTTGAGAACACCTTTTTTTCTTAAAACATTTTGGGGCAAAAAGTCACTTAACTTTCTGGCAAGCAAACAAGTGTTTTTCGCTTTGCACATCAAGTATTCTTCTCTGGAGTCGCCAGGCCGCACTTTATTGATTTTTCGCTAATTATCGAATATAGCAACAGCTGTATGGCATGCGCACTAACGGTAAACCAGCCATCTCTGCGTAGGAGTTTGCATATGTGTGCGTGTGTGTGTGCGTTGGCTGTGTACGTCAGCAGTGTTGCCCATGCGAAAGGAAAACTGTTTTAGTTTCAGTTGTATAGATTGGCGAGCCTGAGCTCAGTCGCACATTGCAGTGCTTTGCACATAAAGGTCCTGGCAGCAGACAGCACTAAAAAACAAGAGAAAAAAAAACAGATTGCGAAGTTTAGTGCGTGTGTATAAAAGTTAAAGAACAATCAAAACGACCTTGTGTTCAACTGCGATATGGTAAAGAACTAAGCTTTGTAGTTTCCATTCATGCAGAAAAGAAAAATAAGGCACGCGTGGTTTTTTTTTATGTCCTGTTGGCTTATGGCAGCAATAAAAAAGCTATATCAGACGTTGCAGCCGTGTTTCAGCGTTCGTCCGTTTGACGCGTTTTCTGCATTCCATGTACATATACACACACACACGCACACCCACATGCATAAAAGCATGCATGCACTTAGTAGTGTGTGTGCGTGCTCTTGTTAATGGACGAAAAGTTTTTCAAGGAAAACGGATACACACGGTTTGAACTTTTTACAGGTGCTCTCCTTTTTGCCTTTGTGTTGCATTTAAAAGAGTCTTAAAATGCAACCGTGAGTCATGGACCAGGACATATGCAACTACATACATACGTACGAGTACATACATACATACATACAGGCATGCATATGAATGTCCATGTAAACGTACACAACACACCTTCGCCGTAGACATTTCGGCAACATAAACAATATGCCACACACGTTCCTATACACACATACATACGAATGTAGATACATACATATACATAATATACATATATGTATGTGCATATGTATGTATGTAAACTCGTTAAACGCATCTGTTTCATTTGGTTTATTGATTTTACTCCAATTTGGTTCTCTGTTTCGCTGACAGGCGGCACCAGTTGTGTTGGAGTTGTTGATGGCTTCAAGTGGCATGTCCCACAATTGAAGGAGGCAGCAGCATAAGGCGTCTAAAGTAGCGGCCACTGACGGAGCAAGCAACAGCGCATATACACAGACACACGAACGCGACTCACGCTTAGCTGTGTGTGTGTGCAGCAGGCGCGCACAATATGGAAGACTTATTCCTACTGATTATCAAGGAGTCAACAGGGACTAAACACAACGCTTTGCGACAAACGGCGCAAATAGCTTATGGTAAATATATCTACACTCACATGCACCAAAAAATCCATCTATATATTAGAGTTCCCCAAGATTATAGTCTTAAATATGTGGTCTTTCGACTTAATTGAATCTAATATCACAGGAAATTTTGTTTCCATTCCTCTCGACTCAGCAAGAGGGATTTTAATAAATGATTATAAATGATTGCCAAAGTGCTAAGATCTCCTTTCTTAGCGAAAATAACGGGCAAAAATAACATTTCATTTGGTTCTGCTCGAATCGAATCCTGGGTATTTCAGCGGGTTGGTAGTTAAACGAATTTATTCAAACTTCTGTACTATTCGCGCATACATACATTTGCTTGTAGGTGCGTTCAAGCTACAGCCAATAGCTGTTGTTGCAAAGCCACAGCAAAAACAACAATGGTAAAAGGACATTGAAAACATGCAAGAACGCAATTTCCTTCCTCGCCACATTGCCGTTATTATTGTTGCCGTCCGCCTCCTAAGCACGTCCGCTGGCACTTCCTTTGTTTTTGCTGCTCTTGTTGCCATTTGTACGTTTCTTTTGTAGTTTCCCTTTTGTGTTTCGCCATGATTCATGTCACGCAGTGCTTGTGGGCGCAGACTGCACCCTAAAAGTAGGCAACATGTTCTCCCTTGGCCAAGAAAGCAGAAGGCCCACCACCATTGCCACTCGCACGCCTCCATCGTGGGTATACCACGCATCATTATCATTAGCACAGAATCAGTTTGTTCCCATCATTACCATCCGCATTTCCAAAGCTGCCGCCGTCAGTTAAATTGACCATCCATTTCCCCATCCAATTGGTTCGCCCATTGTTTTGGTTTGTTTGCTTATAATAATAATTAATTATCCGTTAAATTTACAGATAAACTATATCGACAACATGGCATACATCGCGACCCGTCACATGAGCTACGGTCCGTATGTTTCACGGCACTACAAATGGCCTTGGACACCAAACGGCCAAAGTTCATCACAATGGGCCTAAATGGGTTACATGTAAGTGAAGGAAATAATGGAATTCGTTGGTGGGAAACCATTGCATGACAACAAATCAAAACTATAATTAAGGAATTCTCCTTTTATCACATCTAAATTATTCTACATAATTTCTCTTCTGCGTTTGTCAATTTAGCACCGAAACCCTAATAGCTGATTACCTTTTTTGTCAGCCTTTCTATGCAAACAACTTTTTACATTTTTCATTCAAGTTGGAATATTGGCCAACTTTGAAAAGTGGAAGAGTGCTTTAAATATGCGCAGCGTTTGTCTTCGACAAACAAAGCATCCTTCATGTATCTTTAGTGTGTCAGCTGTCTTGCGAGTGTGGGGGAGTAGAGTACGACAATGGAACAAAACAGAACGGATGAATCAATTACTGAGCGGAGACTAACACATGTACGGCTCATTGTTAGCAGATAACAAAGGCAAAAGGCCGATGACTGGTGCCAATAGTTGTTAGTGTTTGGGCGGGGAAGGAGCAGACAAGCGGAAATTTAAGGCACACCCAAGGCTTGGAGCGTGCCGGAAATCCATCAAAAATGAAATAAGAGAAACAGTTTGCTAATTGCCTCAAGCTGACGGGAATTTCTTAACTTTATTTGCAGCGCGTCATCAAGGACGAACGTTTCTACATTGGCCTAGAACCCGAGGATGATTCCGTATGGCTGCCCTCGCAGCTGCTGCGCGCAACTAATGGCATTCTGCCAACTACGAGCTCCGAGGACACGGTCGTAAATGTCTTGCGTCTGTTCCTGGCCATGGCCTGCTCACCGGCCTGCACGCTGAACGGTCGCCTCCTTATCGAGATATTGTCACGTTGCGGCGAGTGCTGGGAGCTTGGCTCACGAGCCACCAAGGCTGCTTCGCTGGCCGCCGCCTCACAATGTTTGCGCACCTTTTGCGCCTTTCTGATCGAGGAGGCCGAGGAAGTTAAGAAGACGGCACCGGCAGGCCTCATGACACAGACCCAGGCCTCTGCCGTCTATAATGAGGTAATACCCGTGATGCAATGGCTCTGCAGTCGTCTTGTCGAGCCCAATGTGAATGCGTCGCCGAACAAGAAGTGCGAGAACCACAGCTCGCTCTATCTAACTGAATGCATATTAACGTTAACATCGGCGCTACCCCGCAACGTGCACGCCAACCCGCACTTCACGTCATTCCTGTGGCAAAAGTTTTGCCCCACACTTGCCGCCGCACTCGGGTCGCCAGGTCGAATCAATCTGGACAAGAAGTTCACCTACAAGTAAGTTGAAGTGGCAATAGCGGCCGTAATGTTCCTTTTCATACATTGCGCTTTCCATAGAGATGCGCTGCACATGATCGAGAACGAAGCGCGCGGCTTCTTTACAGGCCCGGGTCTAGATGGGCCGCAGGCACGTTGCGTCTATCTGACCGCCATTCAGCTGCTGCGCATTGCCGGCGCCCATGGCTCGCTGCGACCTATGGTGGAGGCATTGTTCCACCGCATGCTGCTACTGCCGGCGCCACAGAATCGTACCGAGCCACTAAAGTGTGTGCGTGAGATTTTCAAGAGTCCCGAACGTCTGATCGATCTGGCGGTCATTCTCTACGTGGACAAGAACACCGCACAGGGCTGTAGCGATGAAATGGCACTCTTTCGACTGTAAGTATCGGTAGTGCCCGGCCATTCTTGCTTCAACCTTACTCCTTCTTGTTGACGCTTTCAGAATGGTGGATGCCATGGAGGAGTGCGCATATGGAGCCAGCGCTGGCACCGCCGCAGAGGCCAGCTTGCAAGCCAGTGTTGAGTGTATGGTTGCCCTTCTAGACAGCCTTCAGGTCTTGTGTACCGGGGAATTAACCGAATCCATGATCAGCGATCAGATTGTGCAGGTCGTGAATAGTCGTCACGAGCTGCTGAAGGATGCCGACTACTCGGGGCCGTTGACATATCAGTCCATGGCGCGTCTGCCGGCGCCTTATCGAGACGCAATCGTTGAATTCCGACAGAACGTTTTCGAGAACTCTTCCGGCTCAGAGAGCGAGGGAGAACATCAGCATGAGCAGGATGCCGCTTCCAATGGCTCAGGTGACACAGAGGGGCCCGAAGACGATGATCCAAGCACGTCCAGCGACGAAACATCGCGCGTAGAGAATCGCTGGCCCTACTCGCATCTGGAAGCGCCCGTCATACCCATACGAACCGACATCGATAACGATCGGCAGCATGCTCGCGACTTTGCCAAAGCACTGCGCCACGACCTGGTTCCTAAATTGCTACGTCTTCGCTCCTGTGTTGAGGTGGACGAGGCCATGCAAGAGTTCGCCTCGGCCGTGTGTCAGGAAAACAGCATGAATTTCTCTGACTTCGACTACAATCTGACGGCCATCAATGCCGATGGGATTTATCTGGCGATATATTCCTCGCTCTTGCTCAGCCTGCAGCTGATGAGGGCGGGCTACTACGAGGATGAGCAGCAAAAAGAGATTTTGGTGCCCATGTCGGAGCAACAGTTTGTCACATCCGTACAGAATACGGGTGTGCTCGTCTACCTTTCCTCGCCATGGCTCTGCGAACTCTACCAGTCGGTGATTATATCCAATGTCCTGGAAGCTATGAGCAAAGATGATATGGAAAACACCGCCACGCGCTGTGCTCTTGTGGATATGCTCTGCGATGCAGGTGGATTGGGCGCCACGCAAATGCTCTCGGAGTGGCAACGACTACAGACGGCGACGGTAAAGCATAGCGATGAGCAATTCGACAAGCGACGTGAAGCCGCCAAAAAACTGTGCCGTCGTCTGCTCACCTGCTGCTGGGACTCGATGGTGATTGTGCTAAGCTCGGGTCTGGGCGATCTCCAGACAACTGCTTCTAATAAGTTAGTTGCTCTTTCTAAGCGCACGCTGCGTGTTAAGGCCAAGACGAACAAGTCGAATGGAGAGGCACTCTACGCCATGTGTCTAGATGGACTGCATTCGGTAAGTGCTTAGATGGGGTTCACACATATAAATGATTAAAACAAGAACTAACCATTGCTACTCTTTCTGCAGGCCGCCACACTAAGCAACAGCCTCAATCTGCAGCATCTCGCCGGAAAGATACTTAACTTGCTGGCCTCAAACGTTTGCCAGACAACAGGACCACGTATTTCGGCCAGCCAGGCCATGTCCATGGATGTGGTGCTCACTGGTGGTCTCAATCTAGGCTCCTACAGCGCCGATTGCTGGCAATCAATATTCGCAGTGTGTCGTCATGTCAGCCAGCTGGAGCACGAGATCTTCAGTATGCAGAATCCACCAATATCCGCATCACCTGGCACCAGTCGACGTGACTTAGAGACGGGTGAAAAGCTGAGCAGCAATGGTAATGATAAGCTCAATTTGTCTTCAATTCCTATTGACGATGATGAGACTTGGTGAGTCCCTCTTGTGCCCTTTTTCGCGCCTTTTCCTTATCTACAAGTAATTTGTTCGCCCTCCTTTGCATGATAGTGTCGACGTCTATAGCTTCCTTCAGGCCCCACTGCAGAGTCCAAATACCAACATAACATCCATTCTGAAGGTCTACTCTGGCACCAACGAGACTGTGCTGCTTAGTCAGTCGGATACCTCGAAGGTCCTATGTGCACTTTCCCACCAGGCCGAGAATTTGTTTAGCGATGCTGCTGAGCGCCTTAGCCTGCCCTCGCTGTGTCAGTTCCTGAAGAATCTGTGCCGTGCTTCACGGGAGCAACTCTACAAGAGCACCGTAGCCCGCAAAGGCAGCCGAATTTGGTGGCCTAGTAAAGGCTGGAAGAAGATCGATTCGCTCCCCATGTCGCTGCTGCTGCATCGAATTGGTGATGTTACCTTGAAGGTATTCCGTAGCTCACGGCCTCTGCTGCACGTGCTTAAAGTCTGGGCCATCACAGGGCCCCATCTAATGGATGTAAGTTGGAAATTCAATTGAGAAAATTGTGGTGTTCTACTAACTACTGTCCTTTTAGGCTGCATGTCACCGCGATCGCATGATATCGAAGCGCGCTATTGAATATATCCATGATATCATTACGGCGCTGCTCGTGGAACAGTCCGAGCTGCCATATTTCCATTTTAACGAGGCGCTGCTTAAACCATTCGAGAATCTACTGAGCATGGACACCTGCGATGTGGATGTGCAGGATCAAATTGTGGCCTGTCTTTACGAAATTGTGGAGGCCCATCGGACCGAGATACGTTCCGGCTGGCGGCCACTGTTTGGCACGCTCCGCAATGCTCGCAGCCGCATGTTAAATATGAGCAACATTATCGATATATTCCGCGTGTTCCTTGATTCGGACAATACGCTGGTGTTCGCAAATGCGGGCCTAGACTGCATTCTCTGTCTGCTATCATACCTGGAAATATCGGGTGGAGGAGGACCCAACAACAATGCATGCGGTGAGGATGATACAACGTTCAGACCCACAGATTTTCTTCATGAAACGCTGCGCTTCCTGGAGCGCTGCTCATCTATTTTGGGCTTTATGTACAGCATGCCCAAGTGTCCGAACTTTCATTCGACGTACAAGATCAAAGGCATTTCATACACACATATCATTGATGCTAACATACCCAATTCCATGGAGAACTTCACCTACTTCGGCAACGACTATCTGCAAACCAAAAATGAACAGTACATGATCTCGTACCGATCGCTGCATATTGATAAGGACACAATCGTTAAGATTGATGAGATGGACAAGCCGTCGGGTGTGCTAAAAGTTTGGTTTCTGCTCCTAGATGGACTGACCAATTCGCTCATTGTTTGCCCTTATTCGCATCAGGCACCCATACTGCAGACGATCTTCAAGCTGTTTAAGAATCTCTTTGGCAGTCCAGGCATCGATTTTGGATTCTATTGCATTAACCATTTGCTCATACCCATGATCCAGGACTGGTTGCGTTACATCAACAAGACCGGCGCCTCGTGGCAGCTCATCGAGAAGAATTTCAAGCACTGTTGCTGCATGACCACCGATCTGGTTGTGGAGTTTATTGAGAAATCGGTGCCTGAGCAACGTCGACAGGGTGCTATCAAGACACGTGTTACCCAGATCGTGCATCCAGCCGACAATCTCATCTACTCCAAGCTGCGTTTTGTCACTGAACGCGTCGAGGAGCCACAAGCACCGGCCGAGCCAAATTACAATCAGTACGACAGCTCATCCTCATCCACCAGTGATGAGAACAATGCAACGACAGCGGGTAGCGTCGGTGGAGTTGGAGGCGGTGGTGGCGGTGGTAGCGGATTGTGTTCGGCACCTGGCTCCGGGTTGAACAATCACATAATAGAGTCACCCACAAAGATTTCTAGCTCGGCAACGCTGGCTCTCAAGCAGCTGCTGCTAGTTCTCATTGAGTGTGCTGCTCAATCGCAGGAAGCTATTGCACGCATCTCGGTGTCATGTTTAAAGCACGTTATCCTTTCCACGGGAATGCTCTTCAATGAGTCCCAATGGATGATCGCCTGCTCTGCGATTCATCGCGCCTGCACCGTGACGATTGCGCCTCTGCGTCAGCTCTCCTTTGCTTTCCACGAGAAATCCAACAGTTTCTATGGTGATTGCGCTAACGTTAAGGTTGCAGCTCGTCGGGATAGCACATTGGAGGAGCTGGCCCGCATCTATGCACTAGCCCAGCAAGTATTTTTGTCGGACAATCAGCGCGAACCCGGGCAGAACAAGCCTGCGGGTGCGCACCTGGACAAACATCTAACGGACGACCGCAGCTATTCGTTTCTATTGTATCCATTGAACAATGGCTTCAACTCGAACCTGGACAACTTTGTCATACGCATACCCTTTAAGAATCTTGTTGTGGGTCTGCTAGCCAATCAGATGCTGTTGCAATTGGTGGCCAAACTGCTGCTATCACGACTCAAGTGCGTACCGCAGGCTGTGTCCACTTGCATCTTCGACAATTACGCCACCTCAGCTGCAACGCCCACCCATGACTACGATTTAGACTTTCGCTCCAAGGAAATTTTGCTGCGATGCGTCAAACAGTATCTGATGTCGGCGCTGGAGTTCGACTCGCGACCGGGTCTCAAGTTTCTTATGCAGAAGGTGTCCAACATAGAATACGCCGCCAATCTGTACAAACAGATGACATCTTCCTGGATGATCTACTATATAGCGCTGGTGGACTCGCACCTAAACGATATTGTCGTGTACAATCTGGGGCCGGAGGACCTAAATTTCATACTTGAGTCCTGTTCCCGTCTGAATACAACCACCGTAAAAAAGAAGGAGAACTTTGTGCGCTATCTGTTTTGTCTTCAGGATGCGTGGAATCTTGTGTGCGAGCTCTACTTGAGCAACTCAGCGCTGCACGACATTGAGAATGGCAAGCTCCGGAATGGCCCGGATGGGGCTGATAAGCGCAGCTTTGCGCACAATCAACTACATAATGCCCAAAAGCTGGCGATGCATCCGAAGCCGATGTGCATCTCATTGAATGGCAACGGCGATGCCGCCAGCATGTCCAGTCATTCGGAGATGACAGACACGTCCACATCGCCCAGCAAGTGCATACAATTGGAAGAGGAGAATGTGACTATGACGACGCTGATCAGTGAATTCCAGCCAAAATGCCGCAACAATCCCTTCGACACGAACCGCCAGGCCAAATCGGAGGCGGAGTCTATCTCGCCGGAGATCGAGCAGCAACGTGCCACAAGCATACTGAAGGATTCGAACTATAAACGAGCAGCTCTCGCCCAACTGGTAGTTGCGTCGATGGAATTGCTGCGTTCACTGCCCACCGAGGCTGAGGAGAACCTCAAGTTGTTGATGACTCCCACAATACGTGAGGCATTCCGGCTGGTCCAGCTGCAGGGTAATGAACTAAAGGTTAACCAATTTTAGGCCATGCTTGTTGAGTTTTATTTTGATCTGTAGGCGCAAGCCCCCACAATCCACTCGTAACTAACAATCGTTCCGATGTTTCGAATCCCAGACAGTCCAGATAACTCGAGTATCGCCCATCTGATACAACGTTAATGCGATGCGTGAACTTTTAACTTCTGAAGTTGCAAGCATTTCTATTAAAATACCGCTCTCACAATTTCCGAGGCGTCTGAGGCGTCGCATTAACGTATGTAGTATGGCACACAACCAACATGCTCGATGCCGCACAAAATTTAGGGCAAAACTATATGTATATGAAATGTACGTATTTGTCAATATACCTACTTATATATACAAACATACATACATATGTAATAATTTCACACACAATAAGACTTAAGTTACAATCATAGTTTATTTTTATAACGACATTCAGAACTATACACTCATACATGTGTACATTCAACTGCATATTGACACACACACACACACACACATGCATACCTCTAACTAAACATACTTCCTATGGCTATCTCACAAGATTCTTTTGGATAACCTGAGGTCTTTAAAGAGTATTCAAAACCTACCGATGACTGCAATATGCAGAAAAATAATGTGAGAACGTTTTAAACTGTTTACTTGTAATATATTAGCCTTCCTGATAGAGAAGCTCTTCTCAGATTGAATTTACGATTCATCAGTAATGCCATCCCTCTCGCTAAAATACAACATTTTTAAGAACGCGATATAAAGTTTTCGAACTAAGGGGCTATTGTAATCATTCCAAAACTTGTCGGTAGCTTTTAATATTTTTTTGTAACCGTGTTATCCCAATGTCTTCTGAAAATTCGATAACTATGGACGTTTAGTCAATCTACGTCTACGTTTCATACTCTTTATCATTAACAGATTTTGGTTATATTTTGAGCGGGCTTGCTCGCAAGCGCTCCGCCCCTGACCTTCGGCCCTCACCCTCTCTCGCTATCCTCTCCCCCTTACCCAACCACCACCCCCTCAACTGGCTGCCGATCCCCAAGCAAGCAAACCATTTCAAAGTAAAAGCTCAACATGTTCAGCACAAAGCAAAAAGTCAAACTGAAAGTACAAGAAAAGAAAAGGATAGAAAATTTGTAAACAAAGATTGTAAAAGTATACATGCAACGTAGTCCTGTACATTTATGGTATACTCTAGCAAACGTTTAGCAACTTAGCAGTCCTGCTGGTCCAGCACCGACCCCATACCACAAAAATAATCGCGCACTTCAAATATTTTGAAAGTCCCGAGCACCTCCCCTATCTCCCTTTCTTACGAGTATTGAAACTTAAATGCGTAGGTGTGCATGTAAATCAAAACTTTATAAGTATATAAATATGTACATATATATATCGCACGTACATATAAAACAACTATAGTGTGTTGTGCCTATGTAGCTAGCTTGGCAATGCGCCCCGCTCCTAATGAAACAAATATTTTTGATGGCATTTAAGCGAAGGATGCAGTGCATTGCGTCAAGTGTGTGTTGTTGAAAACTGTATATGTAGCTCTACTCTAATGCTTAAGTATAGTTATGGATATCCATAAGTGATGACTTCTATGTACTTACACACATACAAACATGCCTACACACACACATGTGTACATACATAGATACATACAAGTGAGTGTACGCTGTAGTACAATTCCAATAAGGTCCACTTAGTTGATCCCAAGAATTAGAACAAAAGTAGGAAATGAGAAATTTCTATTTTGCTTCGGCATAGTGTAACATGCTGTTTATGATTTCATCGTTATATTCTGCTCTTGGATCTTGCCTAGCTTTTGTTTTCTGCCATTTTTATACGCATATTCCCGCTTTTTAAGCTGAGTACCATAAAAAACCAAAGAACAACAACAAATTAAATATTTTGGCTCAATGTTATTTAAAGAGTATATTGTATTATAACTATTGAATTGCATTATATAAATAATATATTTATACACACCGACGTACATACATATATCCTAACATAAATACATATAAACGTATATATAATGTAAACATATAGCGAATGTTAACTAACACAGAATCAGTGCCGCCCATTAATCCACGATTACCACCATTAATGATTAGACAAACAACAAAAACGCAAAGCAAAGCACACGCACACAAACACAAACACACATACTACACACACGCACACACGCACACACACACACACACACACAGACACACAAACATGCCCACAAATACACAGCTACTTACTTATTATTGTATTTGTGTGTATGCCTAGTAGTCCCGCGCTGCCTTTATATACATACTTGCATACTCTTGTACCAGTGTGCGTACCTAAAACGACAAAAAGTAAATCGAACTTCAGAGTCATAGCCACTTTGCGCTCACTATCAATGCTTTCTAGTCTCTGTTTAACTAATTATGACTTAAATCATTTTAAAGCTTTAACCTTGCCATTCTTTTGCTATACCAAAGATGAATTCTAAGCTAATATACCTAATATACAAGTACATACATAAAGACATACATACATACATGCGTACATTTATATAGTTATATACATACATATACATACTATAGTTATACGCATATTTAAAGAGCTAAAGTTCTATATACATTAAATTAAATAAATATATATACATATATATATAGGATATATGGTATATATAAATGTATTTATATGTATTATAGTTACCACTTGGGTATCTCTATGTTGTAAATGTCTAAAAAAAAAAAGAAAACGGGAAAAATCAAGCATTTTTATATATGAAAACTCTTCAAAATCTTTGTATTGACTAAAGCTGCAAATCTATATACAGTCACAAATACATACATATATCTGAACACCTATCTATATCTATATACATATTATATATTTATGTATATTTTTCGCTTCGTGGACATTTTACACAAATGTCATTTACTCGCCTATATTTCTGAACAAACATTTGTATTCTAATGTATTCAAGCTGTACTATAAAAACTTTAAGTGCGAAGAGTGTGCAACTGTTGATAGCAGAAGAGCTGGCAAAATTAGTACTAAAAGAAAACTAAAACTCTCGAAGAGTACATTTGTAATATGAGAAAGAAAATAAGAGAATTAAACAATGCTTTCGCAACTTGACTAAAACCAACAAAAAATACATACGGGCTTCTAATTTCAAATGCGCGCTCGTAAATGTGGCGCCATCTGTGGCAGACATCCAATTTATATATCAGTCAGTTACGCAAGCGCAACTAGCGACGCTGAGCGGCAACATTATTTAAGCTGGCAACGCCGCAATGCTTGTTGTTAAGTGGAAAAACAAACTTTGTTTAGTTCCGCGCCGGTTGCTGAATGTGTCGGTTTGTTTCTTCTGAGCGTCTGTTGTGTAAACTACGTTCAATTGTTTAATGCTGCCTTTGTGTGTGCGTGCTTTCTTGTGTTCTGTAACTACTTTTTTTTCGCTTTTTGTTAATTAATGCAAACAAATTTGCATACGCATTCAACGAAAGTTTCGCGAGTGCCTTTTGTTTCATGTGCATTGTCGTCCGGACATTTGTCTGTTTTTTTTTTTAATTCGTTCAATGTGCTGTGGCATGCGCCGTTGCCGTTGCCGATGCCATTGCAATTGCACCTGTCGCTCAGGTACACCGACGCTTGCAGTGAAGCCTAAAGAAATAAGCTAATAGTAAGCCACAAAAGTGTAAATTGCTGCAAAAACAAGAACAGAAACAGAAACCATATTGAATTACCTGCGTGCAGTAAAACAAAAAGCGACAACGTAGAAAAAGTGCTTCAAGAATTTTGCGCAATTGCTTGCCTGCTTGCACATGTTTTTGAACTTTTTTCAACACTACTTGCGCTCCAATTGGAAATTCTCGGTTTTGTGTGCTGCTGACATTCTTCTTCTTCTTTCTGCATTCCTATTTGTCGCTAACTGAGAGGCATCAATGAGAGGTAAGAGGCGGAGACGCCCACACATTGGAATTTATTTAATGATTTAATAGTGCTAGAAATTAAATTGATTTATTTTATTTTATTCACACTGCAACTGTAATTTGATGCCCCCCATTGTACCTTCATGTACACTTTTTGTTATGATTCTTGTTGCCTTGTAGGCAGTTGCCATGCTCCGCTTTTTGGCCCGACTCACTTTGTTTGGCTGTAAGACGCTTATTGGACTGCCCTTCCCACTGCCACAGCTCCCAGCCGCCCCACCTGGTGACACAATTCAACAAATAATAGAAATGCGTTAATTGCTTGTAGCCTTCAATGCGCACTGTTAATCTTTTTGTTGTCATGCTGCTGCCTCCAACTCTTGTTGGTGTTTTCAGCTGGTTGTGTGGTTGTTGTTCTTGTCCACGGCCTTTTCGATTTGCTCCAAATATTTTGAAGTTTGTTTACTTTACCATGGCTTAGCTTTTGTCGTTGTCGTTGTCGCTGCTGCTGTTGTTGTTGTTGTTGTTCTGTTGGTCACAGCGAGTTAGCGAGTGACTAGAAAGTTCTAAGCACCGGACACTGCAGTCGTCACAATCTTAGCTATATAAGTATGTACGTACATGCATACATACACACATACTTTGTGTAGCCCTGTATATGAGCATGCACCGTTACGCCGCCTGCCGAGCGCGCTACTTTCTCTTCATCTTCGATTTTGCGCAATTGCCTCCCAACATACAATATTCAACAGATGGCGGAGGGGGGCTAGTTTTGTGGGTCTATGCAGCTGCTGCAATTGGCCAGGTGAGTTTATTTATCGCTGATTATGCGATTATGACTGATTGACTGGCTAACTGACCGCCCGATTGACTGAGTTGACTGATTATTGGTAAAATGCAATGCAGCCTTATGCAACTGCCAGTCGCTTGAGATGAACACACACACACACGCACTCATATGTGGTAAGCTCCAACTCCAAGACTTTCAAACGATTGTCGGCAATTCGGTCGGCGGCAACAATTTGTGTGCCAATCGGTTAATTGTGCTGCGCAGCACTTCCTGCCTTGGCCCGTCCAGTCATCACCATCATTCACAACATCAAGTTGTCATCGTCAGTGAGGCGTTAATTGTCTTTTAATTACATGCAACAACAACAACAACAACAACACAAACAAAAATTCAAATCTGCCACCTAACTCCCCTTCATCCTTGACTCCACAGCTTCTGCTTGTCCAGTCTCGCATTGCACATGCAAATTGTAAATTGCGAAATTGCAAATCATGGCGCGCGTATCTCATAGATACACAAAATTGAAATTACAAAAATGCAGCAAACTCAACAGTTGGACTTGTTGGCAAACATAAAACAAAAAACAAAAAACACACACAACTCCTTTGTGTGTAATCCGAGACGGACAACGGACTGACCTGCCAGGGCCTGTTGCCATCGCCTCCAGCCCAGCTGTGCGCCAACGCTCAACGCTCGACGACGATGCTTGTTGTAT